AAAAATGTTGGTGCCGTGGAAGCGTATAAACATGACCTCGCCATACATTTCCTTCTAAAAAATTAGCGTATAAAATTGCTTATATCTTGGCAAATAAAACTCCTTTCGGCGAAAAAATTCTCAGGGATACAGAGCTTTGCTCGCTCTTTTACATGGATTACTTATATTTTGTTTATGACTAATTTTACGGAAAATGTTTTTTTCCATGACGTACYTGCAAACGAAGATTAGCATATTACCTTTCTCAATAACTGAGGTCTTGTGAAGTCATTCWTGCATGTAAAGTTAGGAGSAATAACTTAAATAAGTACTATGTCTATGAATGTTCTAACTCTAGGCCAGTTATTCAAGCAGGACATGGMAAAGGCCTTTCTGTTCCCGGTGTTCCCTTCTTCATCTCTCACAAATTCAAAGTTTGTAAACAAAGCCGACGCGTATCGTGTATTTGATTATCCACCTTTCTCTACAATGTTCAGAGATGTTGTCTTTCCACAAGCTCTATCTTGTACAGCTGGCAATGAAATCYCTGTTCTAACCGACTATCCACCACCAGACTTCCTGAAACAACACTGGAAGACATGGCTRCCTGTTTTCCCTCTTCCGAATTTCATCAGTACAGACGAGGGGCTTAAAGAAGATGGCATTCCTATTGTCACTACTGGAGCATTTCAAGATATTCCGAAGTCAAAACACAGCGTTGACCCTGATGTGTTGCATTGGTTGCAGCTGAAAAGTTCAATCCCTGAAATGGGCGTTCCTCATCCCCGTCACATGGATGAAGATAACGTGGAGTTTCCGTTTGTCGTCAAAGTTGATCTCAGCTATTTAGGAAAAGGAACCTTTGTAGCAAGGAGCAGAGAGGATTTGACCGCTCTTGTTAAAAAGATCCGTGAGGTGAATGGCTGGAGTAAAAAGATCATTTATCAGGAACTGATAGAAGATATGAACAGAATATCAAGCCATCAGCTTTATCTGAAGAGGACATCTGATATAATATGGCTAGGAACTAACCAATCCACTTTTGACGGCCTTAACATCACGATGAACTTGGACTGGAACGAGCAAGAGAAAGAGAAAAGACTTGTCTATGACGAGTTNACATGGTAAGGGGGCAAAGGGGTTTCGCATATACATGGTAAGGGGGCAAAGGGGTTTCGCATATACATGGTAAGGGGGCAAAGGGGTTTCTACCTTTGCATTTGTGTTTATTCTCTTTTCTTTATATTTTCATTCTTTTAAAAAAAAATCTTATAATGATGGTTCTCATTTGGCTAGTGAAAGCGCAGTCACTGTAATTTTCACTGTATAAAGACGCGATTTTCTCAAAATCACCATCCCACGATGTGGCTACACGAGCGACAATGCTGTATAGATAAAAAATCCTCACAAATACATGTACTTATTTGAATCTCCGTAAAGAGCTATATGTATAAAAACAACTCAAATTCGATGTTCAGCTTTCATCATGCCCGAAAATCGCGTCGGCTGCATGTGCAAGCTAAAAATCACTCGTGTAGCCGCGGCTTAAAAGCAAAAGTTATTGACTGATAAGTACAGTAAACTCCCGCATTACAGACACCCCGCTATTACGGACACCCCGCTATTACGGACACCTCGGTATTATGGACAGGAAATACTGACTCCCCGGTAAAAAATACAAAGAAACGACTGAAAGGGACTCCCGCCACTGCGAACACTAAATTACGGTCCCGAGGGTGTCTGTAATAGCGAGGATACTTGAGGTCAGTAGATTTGTTTGACAGCTGCGAAAACGTTCTTGGGGCACCTAGAAAAAGGCATCAAAATGGTTGGTGTTTGTGAGCGAATCTAGTGATGACATTGTGTGCAATGGAGACAGTGTATTAATAGATGTAGTTATGATGATGATGATGATGATGATGATGATTAATGTTTCAACAGATGATCCCGTGTCTCCTGTTACTGATGCCGAGAAGCAGTTGTTAGAGGCTGCCAAGACTGGTGATTTAGACACTGTTAAGGTACATTCATTTCCATTACGAGATGACAATTTTACTCTAGAAAACTATTATCATAGGTAGTATATGTGTATGTCAAAAGGTTGATGCCCTTAAATCAAGAAGCTCTGATAGTACAAAATACATGCTGACTTATGATTTTCTAATTGACACTATTTAGTGCTCCTTATCACTATTTGGTTGTAGAGTGATAAACCGTGCAACTGTACAAAATCCAACTAATACTTATTTGTCCTAAAACTAAGTGGACGTGGAGCAAGACGGTATTGAATGCTTCATTTGTATCCATTTAATTTGCATCCTAATTCACTGGAAATGTGTCCTGTGTCTTTATTTTAGTTCACTAGAAATGCGTCTTAAATGCCTATATTTTACAACCATTATCGTTGAAGTGCAACACACATTCACGATTTACTAAATACAACTAAATAGCACTATTTAGTATAAACATAATAATGGTCTATCACTCATACTGCGCTGTGGCTACTCTACTAATGGTCTAATTTGTGATGGACCATTCGCGTGAAAATCAATCTCATTATTAAATTATTTTAAGGATATTTCAATTTGTTTTCATTATTTGAACGATTAGTTTGTTTATACTAAAACAATTAGACCTCTAGGCCTCGTGGACTACGAGCTAATAGCCCATTCGGCCTCGCGGACTCGCGTCTCATGGGCTATTTGCTCGTAGTCCACTCGACCTCGAGGTCTAATTGTTAAATAGATTGTATAGTTGTACGGATTAAATGCGATCGCTCCGCTTTTTCATGCTTCCTTTTCGAGTGAAGTCATCTTAAAAACACGTAAAGCAAAATTTGTCGAAATATCTATTTCACAATATTTTGGCATATTTGGCATCATGATCAGAACTGATGTTTGTACCGAATGTAGACCACACTACAATGAAACTGCTATTTCAGAAAAGGGCTATTGAAATGTGGTAAATTTTGTTTCGTTTGTCTTTGCAGAAATTATGTAACAGTGTGACGGTAAACTGTCGAGACCTTGACGGTCGCTGTAGTACGCCGTTACATTTTGCTGCTGGATATAATCGTGTTAGAGTTGTAGATTATTTGTTAACCAATGGAGCTGATGTACATGCTAAAGATAAAGGGTAAATACGTATTGATGTTTGATAATAGGCAATCTGCAGCGACGCCATTTTGTGCAGCAAAGCATGATGGTAGTTGTAGTCCTCACTTTTATTCTAGACACTAAGATATCTCTAAGAGCTATTTTTACATTTTCTTTATATAAATTAACGGTAAAATAACTACTATTGTTGCTTAGAAAAAGCAAAAACTGCTTAATTGGACTGTTGTAGGGGACATAAAATAGTACGAGGACTACAACTCACCATCGACATGCTTTCCTACACGCAATGGCGTCGCATTGCCTATTTTATTGTCTGCCCTCTACAATAGTTAGCACTGTGACTAGAGTCATGTGATCTGTGGCGGGTAAACGCTAATCTAATATTGTCTGCAGTAAGACCACTGTGAAATTCAGGCGAAAAATCAATCATAACAAATATAAACAAGAAATAATATTTTTATTACTGAAAACATTCGTAATACAAAGCGTTTAGTAAAAGCGTGAAGCAGTAGTTATACTGCTATTTTATCCTGATATTGTTCAACTGGTACTATTTTGCACAATTTAGTAATTCTAGTGTTTCACGCGTTCACACACCCTGAAGTCATTATGTATCGTAAGTGCTTCACTTTATGACGCATTAGTTTAACGTTAGCTATCTGTTCATTAGGGGGCTCGTGCCTTTGCACAACGCATGTTCTTATGGACATTATGAAGTGGCTGAACTACTTGTCAAGGTAATGGGCATACAGTGGAGTCTCCACATGCGGACGTTCTCACAAGCGGACAGCCCTAATCACAGRCAGCTGTAATTCAGAACTCCGATTTTAGATTTCTTCGATGCATGTACAGTTAATTGAAAAACCATAGTCGTGTTCGAAAAGGTCACTTCATAGAAGTTAAGACCGAAAGGGATTTTGAGTACCACTAAATTGGGATTACATTTGCATATAGGGTGTACACTAAGCAAGTAGAGCTAGTAAGATTAACAGCATGATAGTCTTTTATGCTGGAGAGCTGTTTGTATGAAATTAGCCAAATTGTTTGTCTTCCCAAGTACCCTTTCGGTCTTAGCTTCTATGATTTGACCTTTTTGG